TATTACACTGTCATAGAATCATACAATCATGGAATTGTTTGAGTTGGAAGGGATCCTTAAAGGTCATTTGGACCTTTATGATGCTATATATATATGCAATGAACAGGGACACCTACAGCTCCATCATGCTGCTCAGAGTCCCACCCTTGAATGTCTCCATGGACAGAATATCCACCACCTGTCTGGGCAAACCTTTTCAGTGCCCCACAACCCCAATTGTAAAAAAAACTTCTTCCTTCTACCCAATCTACATCCCCCTCTTTTAGTTTGAATCCATTTTCCCTTGTCCTACTACAAAAGACTCTTTTAAAGATGCTGTCCCCTTCTTTTCTTCTAGCCCTCTCAAGATACTGAAAGGCCACTATCAGGTATCCCTGGATCTTTCTTTTCTCTGGGGAGAACACTGAGCCACCACTGGCTTTCTGGGCTGCAGGGGTACATTGCAGGCTCATGCCCAGCTTGCCACCCGCTAGCGCATCCAGGTCCTTTTCAGCAGTCTGTGCTCTATGCTTATATCTCCCAAGTTTTACAGCAGGGGTTGCCACAACTCCAGGTGCAAGGTCTTGCACTTGGAATAAGTGCAATAATAAACCTTGCACTATATAGGCTTTCACATACACCGTATGTTAATACTGACATTTTTGGTTACCCTGTATTAATACATAATTTGTTCTACAAAAGACATAATGTAACACCCCACACTTTTTATTTGCTGGATGATTTTAGTTTGCTAAACGTGTGCTCTGAGCAACACATACTATATATTAATATGTTGAAATACTAAAAAAAAAAAAATAACCAAGATTTATATTTTTGTAAATTATATTCTCTAGATTGTTACACGCTTTTAACAAAAGCTAATAAATTGAAGGAACAGTAGTATCTAAAACTAGTAGAATTGTCATTCTATAAATCTTCTCTGTTACATTCAGTAGTTTTTGCATCGTGTATTATGGAGCTTCTGTTTTATAAGCTTGGAAATATTGAAAAACATGCATAAATTTGGCTTAACCGACTTCAAGTGATAATCTATTTCTACTGGACTAGTAGTTGTTCCAAAAGCTTTGTTTTTTTGTGGCTTAAATGTAGCTTGAATTTATTGAGGTTTAGCTTCAATCCATTGGATTTTACTGTAACCTATTTTTATTAGATCCCTTTTGTCTATTATCCCAAATATATTCACTGTGTATTTTTAGTATACAGAGCAGGGTCAAATTACGTTTTGGCTAGGATTTAAATAGGTACTTTGATTTCTTATTATTCTAAGCCTCAAAACAATTTCTCATAGCTCTTTTCTGAAGTCTTTCCAGAACTTTCATTAAATTCTTTTTCCAGCAATGAACTTCAACATGGAACACAATATTTGGCAGCTGTTCCATTAAAAGTCTTAACAGAAATAACTGCTTTCCTCTAGTTCTCTTATGATCCTCTGTTGATACATTCACGATAGCCCTCATAAAAGCAACACTCCTCTAACAACTGATGTTCCATTACTGAGCCTGTCACTTCTCTTTCTCTCTATCCCTCCATGCCAGGACACACTGGTGATGTGCTCCATTTTCACCCACTTGGTATGCAATAATCTAGGCAGACCAGGAGCAGAACAAACTCCTGAAACCAGTGAGGTAGCACAGAGAGCAAGATGCCAAGCCTTTCCTCCTTGAAGGACAGTCTATTCTTCTCTATTATTGCATTAGAAGTATATTGCTCAGGGAAAGGACACAACACCTACTACCTGGAAGGCTTCCACCCTGCTAAGGCACAAGGTATTTTCTATCACAAATATTCTGTATTCATGGGGTGCAGGTTCCCAGGCAATAGAGTTGTGTAAATGTGTCCCTCCCCACTAACCTACATAAAAGCAAGTCTTGGTGTGTACAGGAGTGTCTGCAATGTTACTCTATCAACATTTCTTCCCCGTTTATTGTAACACTCTTAAGTAGATACCTAAGACACCTTGTAGTGACTGCTAACTACAATTGCCAAAACATCATGGATCTTGATAAGCACTTCTTCTTCAGAAGCACTACAGGGATTTACACAGGAATTACTAAGACAAACATTTGTGTACTGTTGCTATTAAAGATCTCCCTTAAAAATGAAGGGTCTTGTGTTTTCATGAATTAAGAGACACTCAATCAATGTTGACAATGATGGTAAAATATAGGGGAAAAAAGGAAAAATTATCAGAAATTAAGCACCTATTCCTACAGAACAGCAATTACCAAATTAGCATAAAACTCCCCAAAGCGTCTTAAGTCGTTGCCATTTCTGTTCTATGAGAATTTTTTTTTTTTTCCTCTAGGCAATCTTTATCCCATTTAGCAACAGCTTTGGAGAGAATAATATATTAGCATAGTGTATTTATGTTCTGGTCTATTGTGTTTTTTTTTCCCTAAGAAATTCTGTATCTTGAATTAGTCTTTGGGTACGTATTCACTACCCAAGATCTGCTGATGCAAATAATTAGGAGAGATCTGTTATAAGGTCTATGGGATGTAAGGGAAAATGCTATTCCTATCTTTTTAGGATACCTGGAGAAACCTGAAAGATCTGGTCTGTATTTAAAGATTGGCGTAACTACGTAATTTAGCATGGGCCAAAGAAAATTATGCCCATAAGTTACATAGCTATCAAGGCATTCCCTTACTACACAAAAGAGGAAATTCTCTTACTATTAAAGTTTATTTCATTTAGTAGAGTACTGTAACTTAGAGAAGAAGTTCATTTTGTCACAAGACATTTAGTGGTTTAGCTATATCTGTCAATTCTCTAATGCAAACCAGGCTTTCACCACAATTAGTTTAGAAGTGGCTGCTTTCTGGGTCTCTGAATGCCTATTCTTCCTTTGGAAAAGGAAACTTTGAATTTAATACATATAAATTATTTTTAAAATAGCACAAATACTGTCAGCTGATATCCACACCATCTTGAATCTTCTCTCCTAACAGTTCTTTGACTTCCATGGCCATGCTGTATACCCTTCCACTCAGTGTTTACATTTCTAGAATAAGTTACTATTGACAAACACCTAAAATAAACAGCCAAATAATCTCATTAATCCTCCAAAAAATAAGGATGATCAATAGCAGATGATTACAGACAGATAAACCAGGAAATCAGCTGATAATAGTCAGCAAAGTTTAAAGGACGTTTTTTACTACAACATTCCATTTAATTCTCTGAGATCACAGTTTAATTGCCAGAGGTAAAAGCAATAATTAGAATGTTTTTGTAAACTGTTTCTTTTCATTTTCACAAGGCAGTATGATTAACAGAAACTACTGGACAATGTCAATATATTTATGCATCACACCAACTAACAACTGTCTCACTGCCGAACTTCAAAGAGCAGCTTACAAATGGAATTGCCATTAAATGAAACTGTTCATTGTTAAGTTTCTGCAAAGATGACACTTGGCCTGACAATACGTAACATCTTTATATATGAACTGGAAGTCTTTTATATACAACAACCTCCACAGCACTTGCACAAGAGTGTTCAGCAGATTGGTATTTATATAGAATGCTTGATCTAGCCATGCAATCAGGACTCATTTTAAGGTAGGCAGATGCAGAATATTCTACCTGGACACAAGGAATAGAGGCTGTTCTTACAGAGCAGAAGATTGCACCCTTGGAAACTATAACTTTTAAAATAGATTTGGTGGGTGTCATGGACCTGCAGTGTAATAGAAGCATCAAGGATGATGCTATGTAAAAAGAGCTAATGAAAGCTACGAAAAGCTGCACTGTGGAGCAGAGAATCCAGTAGTAAAGGAGATTTTTTTTCTGCATGTGGCACTGGAAGACTGCCATTAGAAAACCATGTATAGCTCCAGTGTTCACCTTTTCAGAAAAACATTGAAATTCTGGAAGAGACACAAAATGAGAAACAAAAACTGTTAAAGAATATATCCTCTAGAATGAAAAAAAAAGCACTATCTGTTCATTTTATCAGAAAGCAAACTGAGAAGTAACTTGATTACACTAAGTACCTTGATGGAGAGAAAATGCCGGTGCTATGGGGCTTCTGAATTCCACAAGGAAGTGAGTAGAACTGGTGTCTAAAAGGTTTAAGCCTGGAACAGTGAACAATAAATGAAGCACCAGGATTTTTAAGCGTGAGTGATAGTCTTTTAGAACAAGTGCTACAAAAAGAAGAAGATGAAGAAAAATTCTTCATTTTTCTGGAGATCCTTGAAATGTTACACTTAGCCAAGTACAAGAAATTGGACTTTGCACGCAAGTATTAAATACAAAAGAAATTTTGAATTTCGTCCCATTCTTCTCATGGGTAATAGTGTCAGACTCTTACTTTTCATGTAGCCTCAGAAGGGTTGGTTCTGTTTCCATTCTAAGGTCACTGGTTGCTCTTGTTGCTCTTGGATTGTGTTGACCATCAAGAACCTAAGAAATATATTATGTAAGATACTATAAAAACAAGACTACAAAAAACTACAAGTCTACAAAAGAATCAGACTGAAAAAGAACAAGCCTGCAAACAGCCTGAAACGCACTTGACACAAAACAGATATTACAGTGTGTACAAATAATAGCTCTTGGCTGATAAACGGAAAGAAGTTTTAAGGTTGTTTGTACTGTCATGAGAGCATGTCTTGCAGAATCACAGGTCTCCATCAAATTACTGTAGATTTACTGATGGCATATTAATGGAACATGGCAGGGATATGTGAGATGTTATTTACTAATGGCTGATAGAATAATTTCATTCTAGAGTTCTGTTTTCTAGTCATGATGAAAATCGTGTAATCTTCCACGTCCCTAAAAAAGCTTCTGTCTGAGTTGGCAAGGAAATGCTAAAAGAGTGTAATTAAGTAACGATGACCCTAAAGTGAAATGTGGATTCTTTACAATATACAATGTCCTTCCCACCAGCCATGTGTGTTTGTCAGATGTTTATAGAATCTTCATTAACTAAGAGCTTCGCTAGATAACAGAAGCTGAAGCATGGCATCAATGACTCAGATAAGGGCAAGTGTACAACCAATCTGCTTGACAACTGACAAGAGGCTGGGGTTTGAAGCAGACTGTGAAAAGAACACAAGAAAGTGATTTGCAAAGGGCATTCCATCTGTTTGCCTTCCACCTCCTCTCCTCTGTCTGTAAAGATTCAACATTTTTAATCAGTTAAAATACTTAGTCCTCTTGTCTCTCCCTCAGAAAGTAAATACATAAGAAATGCATTATTTTGGAGTATTAGCTGCACTTTCTGTTTTCAATATAATTGCCTGCCTGACAAGAGGCAAGCCTTTGGAAAACTGGGACAAGCTACCAGTTATGGGAGAGTCTGACACATTCTTTCATGATCCTGGGGAAATGGAAGATGAGACCCATTTTGATTTTAAATCTTTCCTGGAGAATATGAAGACAGAATTACTAAGAAGTTTGAATTTATCAAGGATTCCCTCACAAGCGAAGACCAAAGAACCCCCACCACAGTTCATGATTGATTTATACAACAGATACACAGCGGACAAGTCCTCCATTCCTGCATCCAACATCGTAAGGAGCTTCAGCACTGAAGGTAGGAGAAGTCCTAAATGTGTGGACAAGAATTTTTAAAGATATATGCGAGCAGCAGTCACATGCTTTTGAAATTCTGAGGAAACTAATTGCCTAACTTCCACAGACTATTTAGAAAGCAAGTAGATCAAATTTTTGGACTGTGGCCTTACTTGCTCCTTTCAATCTTTAAAAAACACAATTTAAAAAAATTCTCTGATGTTTTTATTTTACAATTTTATCTTCTCAAATGCCTAAATTGAGAAAATACATTGAATACAGGGTTTACACAAATCATGTTTCTCAAAGCTAGAGATTTGTGACTGCTTTTTTATGTTAGAAAACAAATATTTGATCATGTATAACTGAGACATTCATGCCAGAGAGCTCTTCTTTCTGAGAGGCTTCTGTCATTCTTAAAAAATACAGTAGCCAACTGAGATATCTGTGCCTCGATCCCAGTAAGGATCCAGCAGTGCTCACCCCAAATTCTGGTTTAGAGGGGAAGATTTACATGAAAAGTTGTAGCCAAGCTTGTCTCAACTTGAAAAAAAATCCAAATCTGCCTGTAGCAATAGATTTTTGAAAGCTCCATGTCAAGAAACAGTAAAAAAATGTTATAAGTGCAATCTTTAGAATAAAAATGAGACAGGGAGAATCTGTTTTTATAAAATATAGTTGTATAGAGGTAACAGCACTACAAGGATCTCCAGATTCCCAAATAAGTGACTCTAGTTCTGAAATGGAAAGAAAACTCAACAGTATGAGCTAGATTATAGTTCCCACATCCCACTCTCCACTCAGACTGCTTTAGAGGGAAGAAGAGTCAACAGTAGCTAATTAAAATTGCCCTATAATACAATGATGATAAAGTAACTATCTAACACTGACCATCAAAGACATATCATTCAGTGATGACTTTAAAATACTACCTATCTGATCTGTCAGAAAAATACCTGTCCTTCCCAAGCCAGAGTTGCTGGTTCTGCACATACGTTTGCAGAAAAATATAATAAAACACCGCAAATACTCACAAAAGCCTGGAATATACCTAAACGTGAGGGATATTTATCACCAAGTCCCAATTTAAACAGACTCTCGAGCTTTGATACAGATTTTTCAGAATTTTTCTGTCTTCTCTCTCAGTAACACAAGCTGCTTTCAAACTACCTGAAGACACCAAAAACCTCAGCACAGTTAATTCTTAAAAAGAGACAAATACACGCCATGCTTCTCTATACTAGGAGAGCAGTTCATCCCACGGCACTGTGATGAGTGGTAAATTCTAATAGCTTTTTTTTTTTTAGGAATTCTTTCTGTAAAATTCTCTTCAGGAAATTGCTAAATTTTACACTTCCTAGATGAGTACCTGCTACAGCACCATCTGCACCTTGTTTTAGGAAGACTCTTCCTGCTACCCCTTCACTCCTTCAGACATTCACCTGCATGCAGTCTTGGTGAAAATACTACCAACATCAAGATACTCCATTTTAACTTTTCACTCCCTGCTTCTTGAAACCTGGCCAGAAGATGGTATTATTTTATTTATTTTTTGATGCTAGGTAGCCATGGTCTTATTTTACTCCCAAAACACATCCTGAATCTTTTAAAAGCAAGTTATTTGGACTGTCAGGAGCACTGTAACCACAGATTTTTATTCCCTATTGCAGATGTTGTTTCTTTAACTTCACCAGAAGAAAACCCATTTCAGAAACACATCTTGCTGTTCAACATCTCTATTCCACGATACGAGGAAATCACCAGAGCTGAACTGAGAATCTTCATCTCCTGTCACAAGGAAGTTGGGTCTCCCTCCAGACTGGAAGGAAACATGGTCATTTATGATGTTCTAGATGGAGACCATTGGGAAAACAAAGAAAATAGCAAATCTTTGCTTGTCTCCCACGGTATTCAGGAGTGTGGCTGGGAAATGTTTGAAGTGTCCAGAGCTGTGAAAAGATGGGTCAAGGCAGACAAGATGAAGACTAAAAACAAGCTAGAGGTTGTTATAGAGAGTAAGGCTCTGGGTGGTTTCCCTTGTGGGAAGCTGGATATCAGTGTTACTCGTGACACTAAAAATCTGCCCCTGTTAGTAGTATTCTCCAATGATCGCAGCAATGGGACAAAAGAGACCAAAGTAGAGCTCCGGGAGATGATTGTTCATGAGCAAGAAAATGTGCTAGACAAATTAGGAAAGAACAACTCTTCATCTGAAGAAGAACAGAGAGAGGAAAAAGCCATCACTAGGCCCCATCAGCATTCCTCCAGAAGCAAGAGAAGCATTGGAGCAAACCACTGTCGGAGAACTTCGCTCCATGTGAACTTTAAAGAGATTGGTTGGGATTCTTGGATCATTGCACCCAAAGATTATGAGGCTTTTGAGTGTAAAGGAGGTTGCTTCTTCCCTCTGACAGATAATGTTACGCCAACAAAACATGCTATTGTCCAGACTCTGGTGCATCTCCAAAACCCGAAGAAAGCTTCCAAGGCTTGTTGTGTTCCAACTAAATTGGATTCAATTTCTATTCTTTATAAGGATGATGCTGGTGTGCCCACTTTGATATATAACTATGAAGGGATGAAAGTGGCAGAATGTGGCTGCAGGTAGTATATGCAGAATATCTATAAGAAGAAGAATACTCTTTTCTGCTGTCTGTGAAACTGTACATTAGTGATGTAAATGAAAATCCTTGCAAACAAGGTTTGGAGCACGGGATGGAGCTGGTTGTTTGTTGTTGCTGCTTTTAAAGGAAAGCTGGCATTTAAAGAATGGCAATCATTGTAAATAACCTGCATTATATATCATTAATTAAAATTTTGTGAGATTGAAAGAACTACGCATTATTTGGCCAGAGTGACAAAAACCAAAAACTTATTTGAATTTTTCTGTTAAACCAGTTCTGTTCAGGTCACATGCAGTCTTTGGAATTGAGGATGTCTTTTAAATTTCTAATAGGCATAGAAATCTAACTCTCTCTGTCAGTTCTTACATTCTTCTGTGTACTCACTGAACTGCATATAGTTTGCATGATAAAACAGGAAGTCTAAATCCTGCAAACCTTTTCTCACATCAGTAATTTCAGAGACTTTTAAAATCATTTTAATGCAAAGTATTTACTCCTGAAAGTGAAGTTTTAAAATTTCTCAAACAGATGACACACTCCATCTCATCTGATTCCCAAGTTTCCTTCTGTGGGTAGCAGGTGCCTTGGTTTCAGCTTTCTTATCCTTGGTGTCCCTATTTTTACCCCTTTATGGCACATACTTGAATGATAAGAAGTACAGCCTTCCGCTTCCAAGACACTGTTTCCTAGGAGGAACAGCAGGCCTTATCTCCTCACAAAGATAAGGAGCCACTTTGACCTACTGCATATTCTTAGTATTTCTTTGCAAGAACATGCAGTCAAATCACATCCAGTCTTAGGATCTGTACCCTAACAAGTGTGGGGGTTGGCAGTGCTCAGCACTCATGAAAAGAAATAAACAAGCTAATTTTTAGAGGCCTAAGTTCTTTGGAGTCTGACACCAGGCACTGCTTATTTTCTTTATTTTTTCTTAGGATAAACGCCGTTTTACATACAAAATTCTTTCACTCTTTAGAAGTCTGGGAAAAATTGATAACTCCTTTTTTAATGTTCTGGGGCACTTACTCACTTTAGGAGAAATACACTACCAGACAACGGTTATCCTGTCCTTACTTCTATTTTCACTAAACAACAACTCCCATGTTTCCTGCAACTAGGGAAAACTTTCTTCGATTCTAATGAAGGTTTTGCCTGTACAAGAAAAGACAGTGCTTTGCATTGGTTTCAGGTGTGATGGAATGTGCCATGTAATGCCATCATAATCCACTTTCTTCCTACTATTCCACCTTCCATCAAAAAAATCTACCACTTTTGATTCAAACCCACAGTGAACTACATATATATTCAAAATATTAAATGTTAATGAGACAAAAATATGCTTAATATGTGGAACCAATATGATTTAAATGTATACATATGTTTTAAATTAGGGCTGCCTGTGGGCAAGACGAATTCATTTGCTATGAACAGCTCTGCTTGAAATCTAATATGCAGTTTATTTACTATTGTTAACTGAATACAGAGCGAATAGCAGGTGAGTGCAAGCAGAGCAGTTGTAATTCCATCAAGAACTTTTGGTTACATCACAAATTATGAGAACAAAGCATGATTCACCAGAATCCTCTGACTGATTTACAGCCTCTTCCATTAGAAGAGGACTGCAATTGGATCAGATCTGAGATCGGGATCCATGAGAATTCTATCCATCCATAGCTGCATGTCATTATCCTCTTAATTTTCATGTGGCATCCTCTCATTTTACTACTCCCCACTGGCTTCTGTCATCTTACAGTTGTTATGTCTTCCTCCTTGAAATGTTTTCTCTCCCTTTTGTATTGATATCTCCTAAATTTATAGTATTTTGCACAACTTCTCTTCTTCAAGTAAAACAAACTACCAAGCAAACATCTGGTGTGATCACATTAGAATTCTTTTTCACCCATGTGTCAAGGTAATTGTAGCTGTGTGCCCTCAAGTCATCTAAACACTAGGTCCTAGCTGTAATTCTGACTTCATAGAGTGCAGGAGTTTGTCATTTATCAAATTAATAAGTGGAGAAGAAAAGAGACAAGTCCTCACATGTTCACAGAGATAGTTTCTCAAAAATCAATTTTTTGGAGGGAGGGAAAAAAAGGGGGGGAAAAACTCAATTCAGATCCCAGCTATTCTATCAGAACTTCAGAGAAGCTCTACAGACTCTTTCCCAAAACTGTACAAGTCTCTCTTGTATTTCAACCCCAAAAAATCAGTTTCACTTCCAGCCAGCTCTAACGATCACATTTCCATAGGCTTAACATTTTGAATGGTACAGCAGTAAATCAAAACATGAATCTCTCCACACTGTGATGAACAGGGTCAAGAGAAAATGAGAACCTGATAGTGACTACAGATGCCACCTACAGCACAGCTGAAGCATCTGTCAAATCAATATTTGGTTTGACATTGTACATGTGGACACCTAGGTTTTGAACATTTCCTTTTAAATAATTGGTCATGTTCCCTAATTTTTCAGCTGCTTTGGAATGTAGAGTCAGCCAGGTGGACAAAAAGCACTAGAAAATATACAAGTAGCAAAGAGAGCGCAAAGCACCTTGCTACCTGCATGAAGCCAGGCCCCATTAGGCACTGAGAAACACTTTCTCTCCACCAGACTGTGAATGTTAACCAGTAGCTTGCTGCTATTGCAGAGCGTGTTGGGGCTTGTGCAATGCCCAGCAGATGTACAGTTAAAAATAAAGCATATTTGTTTAACATAAACACATGGCTAAAGTGTGTCATCATATTCAGGCTCATTAGCTGTGTAATAACAGCCCCTCAACATTACAATCACTAGCTGATGCCATAGACAATTTTAAGGCTACCCAGCAGCACTTCATTCTTAATAGATACTGTGACTAGCTGATGGAAGATGTTCAGGAGAGAAAACAGATATTTTTACATATTTTCCCACCTTGTCTGTGTATATGGAGCACACAATATCCTCTATGTATGTCCCAACATAGAAGAGCAGCAAATACAACTTACCACTTAAAAGTAGTACTGCAACAGTGATCACAAAAAGCCAGAAAGATCTCCATTTTCACTATTTCTTAAAAAAGCCAGTAGCCTCATGGGAACCTGGAGATATCCAATTGTTCTGTGTTCAGATACCTTTTACTGAAAATATCCTGACAGCACAGAAATGTTAACCCAGAATTGCCAATTCCTGAAATTCTAAGCAATGGGTTTTAGTCTCTCAAGTAAGCTTATCATTTCAGACACAGTTATGCTCTAGCACAACTAACACTGCTCCCAGATCACAGCAGAATCTTCTCCAGCCTCCCCAAAGCCTGGCCACAATAATCACACAACATGGAGGTCTGCATAGGGCTGCACTGTTAGCTGCAGGAGGTATTAACTGTAGCTGCCCATATGCAGTACTGAATTAAGTCTGTTATTGCAAAGACAACTAGAAGGATACAAAAGGGAATAAAACAGAAAAAAGGGAAAACAAACAAGTAGCAAATGAGCAATGTCTGCGAGGCAAGATCTCAACCACAGCTTGAAAGGAGCTCCACTTCCCCTCTGACTGCATCAGAGATCTAACCACCTCCCTTCTACCCAAACTCCCCAACTTACCATTTGTCGCATGTTTAGCGCAGACAAAACCAGGGCAGGTCCTGCAGCAGTCTCTGGAGATCAAGGCACTTAAAGAGCTCGGCTTGTCTCATTGCAGGACAGGAAAATAAAGCTGGAGGTGCCTGAACCACATATCTCATCTATGCTGCTCTAGGTCTGACTGAGGCCTACAAAGCTTCTCGTGGAGCTTTCTTCACTCTTCAATATTTTCTCTAAATTTTGTCTCACGTTGCCTCAGCACCATCTCTGGGCCGAGGGGCCTCCATGTTCCTTCAGCACCATCTCCAGGGTGTCAGGAGCCCTTCTTACCCCCTCCCATGGTGCCTTAAATATGATGTCAGTTGTAAGTCAGTCTCCTTTTTGGCTGCCCACAGCCTGCTCTGCTCTCCATCTCCACACTGCCTTGCTGTCATCTCTGAGCTGGCTGCCACCGCTGGGTTGCCTCAGTACCGTTATAATCCTGCCAAGCTGCCTCAAAGTTGTGGTCAGCTGCTGCCAAGATTGTAGCCTCTTGTAGATCATCAGTAATAAATCAGATGAAGCCTCACAGGAGAAAGGCCTCAGTGTAGGACTGGAAAATGAGATGCTGTGAGTCAGCCCTTTCCTGAGGTGCAGGCTTTGGCTGGAGCCCTGCAGGCCTTCCGGTGGCCCTCACAAGCCTTGATGCTGGCCCAGCACAACAAAAGCATTGAGCAAGCAACAGCCTGACTGCCCAGGCCTTTGTACCAGGCTGGTAACCAAAGTTTCTGAGCCAACAGTGGCAAGGACCACTTTACAGCAAACTAAATAGCTTAAAATGGCAATAGTAGTCTGGCTGAACATACTGAGCACTTGCATCCTACATCAGCACAGTGATGGCATAGGCAGGATGTGTTTGATCTGGCATTGGATCTGGCTGGGCATCAGTAGCCCAGTGTCTAAGATTTAGCTTGGTGACAGCTGTTTGCAGTACCTGGCAGCTAAACAAAAGTTTCTGTGTGTTACTGGAGTTCTCACTTTTTTCAAATAATAAGGATAGCAGGTCTCATGATTGAATATTTAATATTCACTTTTTAGTACTAGCTAACATTTTTTTGGTGCACCACTCTCAAAAGAACTCAATTAGAAATGGAAATAAATCTACAATGGAAATAAGCACACAATACATTAATTCTCTAAAGACTGAAGATCAATTCCCTAAATTTGTTGGAAAACTACTTACCAGAATGCAAAACTATGTGACAAACTAGCTGAGGCTGGATAGCAGCAAAGCATTTCTCTGAAGACTTCCTGAATCTTCTGCTTATCCAGAATATAGCAGTTCAGTAGAGCTGCACAATGTGAGTTTATTAAAGCTGTGCTATGAGCTGTGATGGCTCTCCCTCCACCTGTTTCTGCATGCATCATGAATCCCTGCTGAAAACAGAGATAATGGAAATGTATGCTTCCAACCATTCCCAAGTCTTTCAATTAAATCATGACCTGTCTTCTCATACTTTTCTTCCTTTGCTTCTCTCTTTCTTGGGTGCTTTTTAGTGTCCCTTCTAGGAAGTGAAAGGAAGGAAAGGGAAAGGCATATTAGCAGAGGAAAATTAAAATATACAAATATAATCCTTATTCATTTGAAGTGCTATTTTCTTAAAATGTAAATCTTTTGACATTAAATACGACTTTATCAGCTTGAATTTCAATTTCTACAGATTTGTATGCTATAAAGTCTGAAACATTACTTCTTTTAGCCTGAGAGTTATAAAGGAACCTTAGGGTGATATTATTCATTACTTGTACTACCAAGGTGCCTAAAAAGCCTACTCAGAAACAAGGTTCTCTTTGTATCAAATATAACGAGACCAGAACAGAAAAGACAGTCATAGACCATACCTATGCAATCCAGTAATGCCCAACGCAGACAGCAATGAAGTAGTACTGACCCAGACTTGTACATCTATAAAAGGCAGGGGAGGTTTGTCTAGAAATACTTACCAGAGTCCTGGAAGTATTAAAGTTTTCATTAGCACAGTCCTATGCTTGAGCTAATAAACCCTGCCTCTCCGTATTTAGGAGCCCAGTATCACTGTTACATTAAAATGCAACTGTATTAGGAGGCTCTATTAAAACCAAAGTTAGTTTATTTCCAAATCCTGTTAGGATAGCTTCTAGGTTCAAAAAATCGTTTCTCTCAGTGAGAAAGCTGCTCTTGCTGCCACCTTCAGATGAGACTCCTGCTACTGCAGTTTAACAGTAACCAAGTGGTCCACAATGACCCTGCTAAGGGAACGGTGAGCAGCAGATGACCATCAGAGAATATAGGAGGAGTAAAAAAATTTTTACACTGTCTCTTGTAGAAGCTTTTTAGTATACAGTCAGAGTGGTGCAGACCTTGCATGCAAACTGGCCAGAGACAGATAAAAGAAAATGCCTCTACTTTGAGTATGTGGGAAGTCCATAGCTACTAAAAGTCAGAATCTGAGGGCAAATTTTAAAGGATTATAAAATTTTATGAGCTATAAATGCTAGAACTAGGCCGGAGCTGTTGAGTTTGGCTCAAAGCTATGATCAAAATAGTCATTTAGCTTGAATAATACTAAAAATGAAATGTGATGGTAGTATTATATTTTGGAAGCAGATAACAAGAGTTCAGTGAACAGAACTGCATTATACAGCATACTTAATAAAAATATGTTTCTTCTATCCAATAAGAATTGTTATTCTCCAAAGCCAGAAGTATCGATGCCATGCAAGGCAGGGTTATCATAATATGTCTAACAACACATATGAAGAATTACAAAGGTAGCAGTAAAAGATGATTATCAGATCAGTGTAAGAGAACCCAAACATAACTGTAGCATAGAAGAATACCCTGTTCCACTTTTAAGTCATACACATTAGTTAAAGTGCTTATTTCACAGTCGCAATATGAAATGGGGTTTGTTTCAGCACACTAACAGCAAAGGGCAATAGCAAAAAAGCACAAGATAAATACATATCAAACTAGAGAAATATATTAAGCTATAGGATCTTACCATCCCTTAGCTTTTGTTAGGGGAAGCAAACTATAATCCTTTATATGCATGTTGTGAAAATGCTAAGTCACCACTTGAGCCAGTTAATGAGCAACTGTTAGGAAGGTGGGGCCAACCTGGGGAAGCTCAGGCTCACGCAATGCACCTGAGTTACCAGAAGGGATAAAGCAAGGATCCACCCCTTCCCAGATCTCATTTAAGGGGTGGCAATGGAGGTAAGAGCATCTTTTCTGGAGATTCTTGCCTACCTGAGGACATTCTAGGCTTTTGGTAGGCAGGTGGTTTGTTGGGGTTTTTTTTTTTGGCTATTTTTGGGTGTTTGTTTGTTTGTTTGTTGTTTTTTTTCCCTTCCCTTTTTCTCTGCCTGCTCTCTTGTATTTAAGCAGATCCTTATTTGCTATTGCTTAAGACCTTGCTGCTCTGCTATCTTGTTATTCTTTCTATTTCATACTAATGTATTTCT